CAGGAAGCAAGGGGGCATGGGATGGGGAGGACAGGACCTGACCGGCGCCCACGGGCGTCGTCGCCGTCGCGCCAGCAAGGCTGGCTAGGGGTTTCCCCCGGTCCTGGAACCCCTCCATCCGCTCCCACCCACCGAAACCAGCCCCCCATGTCGTAGCAGACCGGATCTGGAGGGGGGAGGAGCACGCCGCTGGAGAGTTGGTGTGGAGGCGGCCAGATCTGACACTGCGGAAGCCGGAGCCGACGCCGGGCCCAGATCCGCATCCTCCGGAGGTCTCACCGCCCTCACGGTCAAGACAGCCGGCCCACGCCCGCGCCACCAGGAGCCAAAGGGCTGGAGGCGCCACACCAGACAGGCCGCCCCAGATCCCGGAGCCCCCCGCACGCGAGGCGAGGCAGCGAGGACCCCGCCGCCACCATCATCAGCAGCACACCAAGATGGCCCGGCGGCTACCTCCGGTGGCGGCGAGGGGAGATCGAGGAGGAGGGAGGTGCGGCGGCGGGATTCGGTTTCGCCCCTCGAGTCGCCCGAGCGGGCGACGCGAGGGAGGGGAGGGGAGGGCTAGACGCTTGGTGGAGCTTGATGTCGAGGAGCTGGCAGATGTTGTGGCGTTGATGCAGATCCGATCGCATCCCTGTTGGAGAAGCCGCCGGTTGCTCTTCTGGAACGCGCTCGTGCGCTGCATACTGGTGCGCGACGTACGCGGACAGCTGGTTGTCGCTGCAGTATGGAATCCCCTGGCGAGGCTGCGGCTCCGACGATGAACGTCGTGTGCACCGGCTGGAAATTGATCTGTACGTGGATGCAATCTGGTTGCAGGGGGCTCGCCGCGTACTGGCCGTGGAGTTCCCTCCCGCGGCGGTGCAGGAGCCCGTGCACCATCGTCTGTTTGAGCGAGGGATCCAGGAAGCACGTCGGGTGGCGTGATTTGGCCGCCATCTGGGATAAAGATTTCTGCACCGATCTGCTAGGATTTTTCTCACCGGAATTTGGGTCTTCAGATATTTATTTGGTGGCTGAAGAAAACCTAATCTAACAGAATTTGGAAAATTGAATTGACCTAATCTATGGAACTGATCTAATCTCTGATTGATCGGGTGCCGCGCCCCCGGGGAGAGGAGATTAATCTCCCCGGAGGAGGCGCGCTGCGGAAGTAGCGGAAGGTCCTAGGATCGGTGTCGTTAGACAAACCGTTCTAATTTCATGTGAAAATTGTGAGATGGATGAATATTGTGTTGTATGTTGTATTGATCTGACCCTCATATGGGGTATATATAGAATACACGAGGGGGTAGAGGTTTGGAGTACAAGATAAGTAATACATGGTTTAAACCTATTCGATCTACTCCTTATCTCTATCTTTAAACCCAAACTATATTCTAACAGCCCTAGGCCTGGTCGCCTTGGTACAGTACTGGGAGCTCTGTCGCTACGTGCGCCACATCACTCTCTCTGACTCACCAGATTGCACTGGCGCTGACCCCTTCGGCTACGTACTCTAGAGTTGATGTTACCAGGCTCTATTCCTGGGTGCCTGCGAGGACCCACACAGGCGGCTCACCTGGAAGCTGTGGGTGCCCCTTCGCATAAAATTCTTCATCTGGCTTGCATTGCAAGACCGTTGCTGAACGGCTGAGCACCTCACTCATCATGACTTACCTCACAAGGACTCTTGCGCCTTTTACGATCAAGAAGAGGAAATGATGTAGCATCTACTGGCGGGTTGCCCTTTCTCCTGCCAAGTTTGGCATGAGATACTCGGTTGGGTTAGATCAACCACCGAGTTACCGAGCGACGACACCGACTTCTACACCTGGTGGGTGACATCCTGCGGCCGTTCACCATCCCCGGCGCGTAAAGGACTGGCCTCCTTAATCATCCTTACCGCCTAGTGCCTCTAGAAACACCGGAATGCTTGCATCTTCGACGGCGAGCAGTCCTCTATCTCCCGTCTATCCGGCATCATCACATCATCGGAGATGAAGCGTGCCTGTGGGCTAGGGCCTGCGCTAGCGGAATACAAAATATCATCCCCGAGAGCTAGTCTTGAAGGTTCTGGGGGGCTGAGCAACCCATGTCTGTCATGCTCCTAGCTCGCTTCCATGTCCTCCTGTGTACATTGCTTAATGAGTTGATGTAACCACATGCTATACTACCTTCTCCTACCGATGAAAAGATATGCAACCTTTGCGTATTGTATAAAAAATATATAGACAACAATGTATATCTGGTCGCTGTCTTCATGTAGAGCACATGCAACTGCCTGAGTTCCATTGGCGTCAAATTTTCAGTTTCCGAGTCCATGAAAGGGAATTTGAAACTTGCTAAATGTCAACTGAAAATCTGTGATTATGCAACAAAAGAAAGCAAAATAAAAACTCGTCAAGTAGATGGAAGAACATCACAGTTACTAAATGAAAATTAAAGGCTATGAGTATATATGCAAGTATCTAGGTAAACTGGTTCTCAAACAAGAACATAAGAGCGTCTACAGCCGGACTTGGCAAATCCTACCCTTCAAACGCCCGCAGACGCGCTCAGACGCATTCGCGGATAGTGACCGGTCACCCCTAAAGAAACACATTCCACATCCGGATACCTCAGATTAGAAACCTCAAATCCACATTATTACATGCAACGTGAAACCTAATCTAAGCAGAGCTCGTCCGGTTCCGCTCCCCGCTCGCCCGGCTCCGCCTTGGCCATGTCCGGTGGCCGATTGTGCTCCTCGGAATGTTGGTCCGGTCGCTGGCAAGGTATGGTGGGCATGGGACACGAGCCAGTTCACGAGACTCAAGGCGCCGCCGTCTCTCATGCCTTACTCTTCCTCGTCGAAGACCGGAACCCGAATGGTGCATGTGGACATCAGACCGATGAGGATCCGTCCGGGGACGAGCCGCCGACGTCCACCATGATGTGGTTGTAGCGCCCAGACTGATGCACCAAACGGGGCGCTGGAGAATGTGACTTCGCCTGGCCGACGTCCGCTGCCGCCTCCTGCGTCTGGTGCCTTGGACGGCGGGCATGCCATGCCATGGCCTCGTGGGACGATAGTGCGTCCCAAATATCGGCACGCCACCGAAGGGGTTGCGCGTTCGGATGCCAGATGGACCGCACGGCCTCCGGCGAGGCAGCTATGACCGGCCTAGCGCCTGATCCATGCGCCATTTGGGCGGACGCAATGGATTCCCGGCGGATGAAGTCCGAGTGTAGCCGTGCACGGGCATCCTGCTGGGCGCGGCGGGGCGCAAGCCGGACGGCTATCTCCTCCTCAGGGCAGCGTAGGATGAGCTCGGGGTCGACGGGTCTGGAGCTGAAGAACCTGGATCCGCTGCCCGCCATGCCGAAGACGACCGAAGGGAGCCGGAGACAAGCTTGGGTGGCTGAGGGGAGGGGAGGGGAGTGAATTGGCTACGGTTTGGTTCAGTGAGCGGATGGGGAGGATTTTATGTGGGGTCGGGTGGGCCAGCGTAGGTCGGGTCTGACGTGGCGGGGGTGCCCGGGCGCGCCCAAACGCCCCCCGTATCCGCCCCAAATTTGGGCTGGATATGGGGGATGCCGGTCAGCCCGGGCGTCTGGGGGCCATTTGAGGGGCCCGCCTGGGTCAAAAAATCATGACTGGACAGTGATCGGACGGCCCGCCCAGACGTATGAGGCGGGTTTGAGGCGCCCGGCTGTAGATGCTCTAAAAGAACCCCAATTGTGCCCCAGGATTAACTTCTTAAATACAAGGTGCATGTGTCATCTCCAGAAATTCTCTGGTTGTGTTTTATTGCTCGTGGTTGTAGCTAATCTTTATGAGGGACGGTGTATGAACTAGGTGTAGGAAGTAGCTCACGAAGGGCAGCCCTCACGTCAAACTCAACTTTTCAAAGTTTTAAACATAACTTGCGCTGGTGCGCTTCAATGACATATGTGTCATCCGGCGACCAAACTTATAGCCTTGAGATTGACCATGTTTCGATCAGGTGGATACCGAGGCCACCGTTGGCTAGGATGGGAAAGAGGATAAGCGGTGAAGTGGGTGTGACATCGTATTGAAATAGAGGACGTGGATTTATGGACGCCTTGAGCCATGCTTATTTGGTTGTGTTGTGAGTCGTGTGGCTTTTTTTAACATGTTTGCTAGTAATAATAACATAAAAAAAAGCCTTAGCATAATCCAAGGGAGTCCTGTTCGTCTTCTCTCTCTCATGGAAGGGCGCCGCGAAGGAGCGACCTCCTCGTCCACGACGCTGCGTCTGCCAAGGCAACGTCCTCGTCTCCAGTTACAATCCCCGTTATTCACAGTAGCAGCCGTGGAGCCGTGGTAGGTTCGGCCTCAGCAGTGCAAACCAATTCAGTTGTGCTACTCCATCCAGCCTACGATTTGTCTCGGTATATTTACCCCCATCAGTTCGGTTTTGATCGAGTATGATTCGACTCCGGAGTAAATTATTTCTCCGATAGAAACCAGGCTCTGCCACTTGATTCAACTTGTCGCCCCCATCCCCATCGGGATCTCCATGGGTGTCGGATTCTCGTCGCCCTTCTCAGTTTTGTCCTTCAACTCTCTTACTATTTCAATGAACAAATAGTTCGTCTCCTTGAGCACATGGTTTGTGAGAGAAACACAAAACACTAGACAGACTGTTTGCCTTTCTTATTTAGGGTAGATTAGAGTACGGTTATTTTTCATCATTGAATTATTATGCAACTATTTTCTGTTTGTACCTTACGGGTTTCTGAACATGGTTTTTCGGTAGAGAAAATAATCTATAATTTTTTTTATATAGCAACCAAAGGGGGAAGATCGCTTCAGTGTGCTTCCTGATGATATTTTGCTGTCTATCTTGGAGAGAGTGGACGACCTAAGAACCGTAGCAAGGACAAGTGCGCTATCAACACCGTGGAGGCGGCTGCCTTGGTTCCTGCCCGAGCTCATCATTGACGCCGATGATTTCATATCCGGTCCGCACCCAAGGGGAAAGCCTATTGAGGCTAAGGTCATCCATGACGCGATGCTCATTCTAACCGCAGCGACAAGGAGTTTATTTGCTAAACCTCAGAGAGAATCTGCTGTCGCAGAGCTGCAACTTGAGATCTACTTGATCGACACTTTCTTATGCGATAATATTGGCCCACTGGTATCTGACGCAGTCGACCGTGGTCTGCTGAAAGATTTAGACCTTGCCATTCTCGACGAGAAGGGAACTTCTGGACGTTCTCCGTCAGATGAGATAAAGCGTGCTCAGGATATTGATGGATTTTTCTGTGCCTACCCTAGTGTCCTCCATTGTCTCACGAGCCTCTCTCTCTATGGTGTGAGTTTTCTCCAATTGGACATCCATCATATCCTTTTTGACTGCTGTAACCAGCTGAAGCATTTATATCTCTATTCTTGTGATGTTGGTCCTTTGTGGAAGATAGATGCACCAAATTCAAAACTTCGTGTTCTGGTGCTCTACATGTGTTGCTTCGAGGGAATTGAGTTGATATCCCTTCCAAAACTGGAGAAACTCAGTGTGCTTGGTTGGGTATCTCACTCTGTCCCCTTGTCTTTTGGTTTTGTCCCATCCCTTGAGGAATTGGACCTAGCACAAATTCTGCTCCGTCGTCAGCATTTATATAAATTAAGTGACTTTCTCCATGGAGCCATAGGCATACACACTCTCACATTGGATTCCAAAGGAAGCGCGGTAAGTACTATATATGTTTTTTAATTTTTTTATTCATGTTATCGAAGTTATATTAGTATCCAGTTATGGTGCAATGACGGATATGGTTCTGTATAGAGAACAAATAACTGCAAATTTCATTAAAATGCTGAGCAAAAACTATCATCGAATTACCACCTCTAATGGTAGTTTGCAGAAAATTACACAGAGGTTGGCAGGGCCATAAACTATAATTTAAGCAAAGCCCCATTGCATTCGGTGATATGCTAGCATGATGTCAGTCCGCGACCTAGAAGGATATTTAGCTAAAATTGGTTCTTTTTGCCAATGAGGTATAGTTCTCTTGTAGCCTTATTAACAATTTCATCATGTCCCATGCTATCTCCCACTGTTTTCTAGAGTACTCTCTCCGTCCTTTAAAGAGTGTACTTCCAACTTTGTTGGAAAGTCAAATTTTTTATGTTTGACCGTATTTATACAATAATACATCAACATTCATGCCATCAACTTAGTAGTATTAGATTCATGATAAAATATATTTTTATTATATACCTATTTGGTTTCACAAACATTGATATATTTTTGCACAAACTCGGTCAAACTTTAAGCTCCAACAAAGTTGGAAGTACACTCTTTGAAGGACGGAGGGAGTAGAGTTCAGTGATACATTATTGTCGGTCTAGCTGTGGATTTCTGCAATCTTCTCCTAAAATATATGTACTTTGCACAGAGTATGCCAAATTTCATGAAATTTGTAATTTATTTATCTTGTGATCAGATTTGGCTACAACCTGAAATAAAACAACTCACCTCCGCATTCAGAAAGCTAAGGAAGCTGCTCATACTAGGTGTTTTTGTTGAATTTGACCTTGTATGGACTACAACTTTTCTTGAGGCTGCTCCTTCCATTGAAATGTTGCATATTGAGGTGAGTATTGTTTCCCTTTCATAGTTATTTGTCAGTTTTGAGTAATACATTTTTTCCATTTCAAAATAAGGTTGTGTGAGCCTTTCTTATGTAATCCAGAAATATATCTTCACCATCACTCTCTGTATATTTTCCATTCCAAACAATGCTGTGTAAAAAAAATTGTATCTTGTTTGTAACTTTTTTTTACCAGGGAACAATTATGTTGCCTTTCTTTCATTTTTTTACATTTAGATAAGGGGATTTCTCAAAAATAAGAAAATACGCAAGAAATTTATTAACACATTAATATTGTTATATTTATTATATAGTGAATTTTTCTACCTAATGCAACTTATATCATAGCTTACGAATTATTATTCGTCCTTTTCATTCCACATTCTGGTAAGGGAAGTGTTCTTCAATGTGAAAAGAGCAGATAAATCTTTAACTGTTGCTAATGCAAAATATAGGTATGTGAGCATGCGTGCGAGTTGGGTGACGAGAACGACGAATCTGGGATATTCGCTGAAAGAATTAATCCTCTGTGGGAGCTAGACTTCCATGCCTCGAAGAACATGCTATTGAGAGAGCTCCACATCGCCCACTTTAGGCCCCTAGAGCAGCAGCTGACATTTATTAGAGCAATCCTGGAGCGATCTCCCAATCTTCAAACTGTGATGCTAAACAAAGATGGCGAGATATGCAACGAATGTGATGCCATGGCCCTCGATGCGCCACCCAGTGCATCAGCTCGGCCTGCATTTCCGAGGACTAACGAGGAGCAAGACTCGGTGGTCAGGTGGGTCATAGATGGCACCTTCTTCTCAGGTCAGATATATTTTCGGTGAACGACAAGATTGTTACAATATTGATAGAGTGATCAAGTCACTGTTTAAGAATTCGTCTGATCAATCAGTTAATGGGCCAGTTAATTGCTACTCGTACGATGACCGAATCGAATAACACATATTCATCATATTAACTTGTCAGGCCGATTAAATTGGCCAGTTAGACCGATAATTGGTTGTTAGGCCAATTAATCGCTGTAGACCCATTAAGTTCTGGGCAAACAAAGCCCAAATTTTTTACCTGTAACCCCTCCCATCCCCCTCTCGCTCCTCAATAGCTAGGGATCTACCAAACAGTAGCATATTTTGGTATATTATATAGTTGAGAGCATGAGAGTATTGTATAATACATAAAAAACTAGATATATGTTGGCAATTTCGATTTAATCTATCGATTAATGGTCGACCGATTAATCCAGTTAATAGGCCGATTCACTGATTAATCACTACTCCCACGCCGACCGAGCAGCTACCAGTTACCGATTTCTAGAACAATGGGTCAAGTGATCATGTACTCCCTCTGCATGGGAATATAAGTCTGGCCCGGGAATTTAGGTTGTCAATTTAACTAGCAAAACATCTCTACTCCTAATGCAGCAGTTGGTAGTCTCCGCCGGTCAATTTTCGTCCCACCACTTTCGTCCGATTTTTTTTCGTAGGTTAACCTTCGTAGATTGTTTTCGCCCACCTCCGACCATCCCGTGCAAAACCAAAAAAAAACATAGGCCACCATCCGTCTCTCGATCCACCTGATGCGGCCGCCCTATCTCCCTCGTACATACAGGAAATCAATCAATCATTTACATATGTATCAGACAGAGAGAAAAAGGATGGAAAGTTTCTTTTAAAATTGGGTCCCGATAACTGCCACACGTGTGGTGTATCGGGTAGTTGTGCCACACGCCTCGTGTGGCATGGACAGCAACCAGCCCACGCACCTACGTGTGGGCAAAACAACTAATGCCCACACACCTCTTTTTTTCCTCCCGAACCCTCTCAACCGTGTGCGTGTGGACAAAGTTGATAACGCCCACACGCCCGTATGTCAGGCCTCGTACCCTCCTGGTCCCGCACGTCACGCGTGACGCCCACCGCGCGCCCGCAGTTGCCATGGTTCAGACCCTCGTCCATGTTCGTTTAATTGCAGTTGCCATGGTTGCTCAACTGTAGTTGTCATGTATGGTCTGATCTAATGTAGTTGCCATGATTTCATAACTTTAAGAGTTGCCACATACTAACACTAGGCAGTTGAGAGAGTTGCCATGTGCTCACAAGCATGCTAGGGCAGTTGCCATGTAAAAAGGAAGAGTTGCCATCTGCTTACGTGCACGTTAGGGCAGTTGCCATGTACGTGCACGTTGGGCAGTTACCATGTACCATGCAAAAACACATGGCAACTCGGTAAAAGAGAGTTGCCATCTGCTTACGTGCATACTAGGCAGTTGCCGTGTACCCTACAAAAACACATGGCAAATCGGGTAAAAAAAGAGAGTTGCCACCTGCTTATAAAGCACACTAGGGGCAGTTGCCATGTGCGCTGCGAAAACACATGGCAACTAGCAGTTTGGGTGTGGGAGAGGAGACTGGCGTGTGGGCTAGATGGCAAATGCCCACACACTAGCCCTCGTGTGTGCGTGCAAAGTGGCGTGTGGCGCGAACTGCTGAACGCCCACACACCGGCCCCTCCGTGTGGTAAAACGGATGTGTGGGCGACCTCTTTCACACACCACACACGCGAGTTGTCCTACGTGACATACAAAATCAGCTAATCTGTGCCAAGATTCGTGCAGAAGTTAATGGACGGTGATGGAGACGTATGGGTGAGTTGGCTAATGCCAACACGTGTGGGCGTTAACATTTCCGTAATTTTAGTAACCTTTGTCAGAACTAATGTAATCCCACAATTTAATTAATACATACTCGTTTGACCCGAAAAAAAAAGAGTACTCCCTCCGTATCATAATATAAGATATTTTTTGACCTTGTCATGGCGGTGTCAAAAAATGTCTTATTTTTTGATAGAGAGTACAAAAGATAGCATAGTCCTTAGATTTCAGTGTGTGCTATCTAGGGTGAATACATGTCGATTCACTTTGACCTATAGGATAACAAATGAGCGCCCACGATTATTGAGATTCATAAATATCTGCCTACGTACCACAGTACAGGAAAGTAAATCTCTTGGAACCATATATGTGCAATTTTTTTTAGAAAAATGGTATAAAATGGTATACTCCAAATCGGAATCAAATCACAATACGTAGGAACTAACATCTCACATTGCATCTAAAAAAAAAAACTTCTCACATTGAGCCAACTCGATGAGGGGCAGATCAGAGCAAGCTTCTGGGCTTGCCGCTGATGGGCACTGCCGCCGTGCCGTTTAGCAAGCCCGAGGCCACCGGCCCACGCGGTGCCGCGGAGTGTGGCCTCACACCGTGCCTCCGCTTCGACTTCTCGCCCTAACAACCATGGCGTTTCCTCTCGCCTCGCTCCCACGGTCGATGTAGGTCGCCGCCGCCGGTTCCAGCATCTACTTCGTCTTTTTAATGTAGTTCGTGGTGCTTGGAAGCGGAGTCTTTTCTTTTCACGTTTATCCATATATTCCCCAGCTACTTCGTCTGGTGATTCCTCCGCACCTCATTCATGCTCTTGATTCTGGACGTGGCTTATCGATTTTCAATCACATGTGTATACAAATTGGTGGATTGAATTGTAAGAAAGCGAGGTGGTACTTGTCGGCGTTAAAACCGACGGATTTCGGGTAGGGGATCCCGATTTGTGCGCCAAGGCTGATGGTAACAGGAAGCAAGGGACACAGATGTTTACCGAGGTTCGGGTCCTCTCGATGGAGGTAAAACCCTACTTCCTGCTTGATTACTATTGATGATATGAGTAGTACAAAAGTAGATCTACGACGAGATCGTAGAGGCTAAACCCTAGGAGCTAGCCTATGATGATATGAATGTAATTGTGATCGGCCTTATAAGGACCAACCTCTCCGGTTTATATAGACACCGGAGAGAGCTAGGGTTTACATGGAGTAGGTTACAAGGAAGGAAATATTATATCCGGATCGCCAAGCTTGCCTTCCACGCCAAGGAAAGTCTCATCCGGATACGGACCGGAGTCTTGAGTCTTGTATCTTCACGCTTCAATAGTCCGGACATTGTACACAGTCCGGCTGTCCGGATACCCCTTTATCCAGGACTCCCTCAGTAGCCCCTGAATCAGGCTTCAATGACGATGAGTCCGGCGCGCAGTATTGTCTTCGGCATTGCAAGACGGGTTCCTTCTCCGAATACTCCAAAGTACCTGTTACGATGAATAGTGTCCAGTCTCCAATCAATGTTGTGCTCCTCGGCTTCAGTGCCTCAGTAATGACCATCTCCACGTGTCGAGTGAATGCGAGGAGTCAAGGTATTTTTGCATTTGCCACCCTCGATCCTCCGGGCTAACCGTCTATTTGAAGGGACAGGGATCCTCAGATCCAAACCTCACCCTCCTCCCTTGAGCTAGCATCCTAGAGCGCTTCGCGAAAAACCATTCCAGCATGGCCGGCCGTCGCAGCTCTTCTGCTTGCCCTCCTCGCTCTAAGTTGGGGGATTGGGGAGAGTGCTCAGTTCCTCACAGCCGTTTGGTGAAGTTACAAACTCAAGGGTTTCTTCCACCGGCATTCATGGTCTCCGTCCGAGCTGGAATAGCTACTTAAGACGGAGGGGAACAACTTGAGGGATCTCCTAACCCGTCTCCGGAGGAGCGAATATGCCTCATCTCGCATCTGCTGAGGGGCGTCGGGTTTCCTATCCACCTGTTTCTCCGCGGGCTCCTGGAGTTCTATGGCCTCCAGCTACACAATCTTACCCCAGCCTCTATTCTGCACATGGCGGGGTATGTCGCCCTTTGCGAGCTATTTTAGGCTGCAAACCACACTTCGGATTATGGAGGAAGCTATTATGCCTTGTCCCCCGTACCCAGGGGGAGTCCCTATGTCAAGTGGGCGGGGCCAAAGTATGGCGCGTCACCGAGACCGGATACTTGTCCGGCACCCTTGAGAAGGCACCCGAAAACTGGCCCTCAGAGTGATTCTATATAAATGATGTTCCTCTTCCAGATCCAGTCTGGATGGGTCTCCCCAAGTTCAGCAACGCCCCGCCGAGGGCACACTTAAGCTGGCGCCCTTGGGGCCCTCAAGAAGAGGACACAAGGGAGATATTCCTCCTGATGAACAGGATAAAGTTGTTGGCCAAGTCCAGACTGACGATAGTTGAGGTCATGGCAATATGCATAAAGCGGGGAGTGCAGCCGCTCCAATATCGGGGGAAGCCCATGTGGCATTACAACGGGGAAGATGACGCCACCCGCTGTGGTCGTAAGGGTCCGGACTCCGCTGCCGCTTTGGCAAGGGTATTGTCCGATTTGTACAAAGGGGAAGAGGAGGAGTTCCTTCGCATAAAAACGCGGGACAGATTCTCCATGTACAACCCCCCGGAGTGGGTAAGTTGCCATTCTTTTCCCAGCTTCATTTACTCTATCGTTCTCCTGCTAAGATTACTTGCATCAATGCTTCTGAGCAGGAACCAAGGAGGGCCGTGGAAGGAATCTTCAGCCCCTCCCCACAACCAGAGGACCCTGGAAGGGCCCTAGATCCGGGACTCAAAGTAGATCCGGATATTACCGTGGAGCTTATCAACGGAGTATTTTATCAGTGAGTTGGGACGGCCCCCTAGTGGACATTACGGCCGACTCCCCTGGACTGCTTCCCACGTCGCGTGTAAGCCGAGCTAAAAAAACCCTTTCCTCCGAAGAGGACTCCCCCCAGGTATTATAACTTACCTTTGAGGCGTCGTTCTATTTGCAAAAACGACGGTCGGAGCGAGGGGCCGAGCCCCTAGGGACTCATCAACCACGGGCGTCCGAATCGGGCAGGCTCAAGAGGAAGGCGATGAGATTGGACACACCGCTACAGAGGTAAAGTGGCAACCTGTCCTGTAATTATA